CTGGGGCTCGGCCCCGCCGCGGCGGGCGGGCCCCTGCGGGGCTGCCTCCATCTCTGCACCTCCTCTCCAGCACTGCTGCTGTCTGTGCAGGGAGCTGGCTAGGGAAACTCTGGGCAGACTTGGCGGGTATCTGCCCGGCTGTGCAATAAAGAAATAGTGCAGTCGCTTTCATGCAGCTCTAGGGTGCTGGATGCCGTGTAGAGGAGGAGGAGGAGGAGGGTGTTTGCCGGTATCGAGGTGGTAGTAGGAGAGACACGTGGTTTTGCTTGGCTGTGTGTTCCAGCAGCACGGAACAAGGAAATGCGGTGGCCTTGGCCTCCCTTGGTTTCACACTTTGATTTCCCAGCTCCAGTAGTTAGTCACATGAAATAGCAGGTTTTCGTTTACCTCAGAGTGATGATCCAAACAGTAATGCTCTTAAAGTAACACACATTATCTGTCCACAAGTGGCTGTTTGGTCACCAGTAGGTGAAGATAGTTTTCGAGAACTTCATTGCGATAAGGAGGGTAAGGTGTGCATATGTCAATATGGTGCCACATCCCTCTCCAAGCACAAGTGACATTTTTTATAGATGCAGTAGCTGTTTACAGGTATGCTTTGCTAGATCCTATCAATGAAAAGTAACTGGGTGGGAATGTCTTGCCTGCCTCAACAAACCTGTCAACAGCCACCTAGCAACTGTGTTGTGCCAAAGCCTACTGCAACCATCCATTGTGTAAGCAGGAGAACTGCCAGGTGTGTGGCATTTTGTCATACCAAAAATACGCTGTTGCTTATGTTAACTTGATATTCTGATGCCTGTTCTGTTTGGTTAAACAGATGAGTTGCAAAAAGCTTAATGACAGTTCTATTCTGATGCTTGGTAATATAATGCTACTTCTTTAAAATCTACTTTGTAAAAGAAGTTTAGTTGACTGGTTCAAGTCCACCTTGTTTTTTTCCTGTTGAAGTGTATTTTTAGTTTTAGTATCAGTAATCTTTGGTAGTAATTCTTAAGATTTCAGGAAAGTCACTGGTGTAAAAATGCATCTGGATCCAGAAATTGCGGGGGCTGTTGATTGTTGCTGCCTTGCCTTAGGTATCACAAATATTATGAGGAGTATGGCTCTCTTTGTTTGTATTTTGTATTCCTTTTTCTGACTTGGTTAGGATACAGCCTTTTTAGAAAGTGGTGGTTTTTTCCACTCTTAAGATGTGTATTATAGAGTGTATTATTGTTCAATTTGTGTGGAATCTTAACATTGGTGAACATTGGTTTCATGGTGAACAATACAATGAGTTACTTATTTGTGTTGTTCTGCACTTACTTGTTCAAGGATTTGTGAAAGAAGTTCTGAAAGTCAGATTTCAGAAGTTACACTTTTCTTAATGAGCAGGGCTAAAGTGAGGCACAGTTTCTAGTTGTGTATCAATGCAACACCCATGAGTGTGCAAGAAACAGTATGTCCCCAGAGCTGTCTGTTGTGCTTCTGAAGGTGAGAAATTGAGTACTGTTCATGTTGGGTGAATTTATGAAATACAATTTTCTAATTATGTTTTGGGACAGTCTTGATGCAAAATTGTATACTTTTTATTTTTCTAGGGTTGCAGAATGAGTCTATTAAAGCAGTTTATACATATTGTATACATATACGTTGCCACTTCTGGGTAACACAAAGCTTTCTCATTTCTTGGAATTGACTTTCTGCCTGCCTGCCTGATTCTGTGGGCTCATTATTCTGTGGGTGTTACACGAAGTGTCATATTGTAGATGACTGTAGTGAACAAAATACTGTGTTTATGATACCATTGATGGAAGTGGGCAAAAAGAAAAAGGTTAGGAAAAAATTCTGTCCAGGCATCCTGTAATAAAAGTACTTTTTGGAAAGGCAAGAACAATTCCTGATCATGTAGGAAAGACTCAGTCATGTTTTGGTGCAGCTGAAGCTTTTCATAGGCACAGCTACTGTTTGCTTTCAAATTATTTGTATTTGAGTTGTTTATTTAGAAGAAATAGCTATAAATTAGGGTGTAAAGAAAGAAAACCACAAAACCTCTGACATTAGTGCTCTGTATTTTCTCCTAAATTATTTCATTGGAAAATTGCTTTGCTTGGAGTATTTCATTGCTTGTTTGTATATACAGATGTCTCTTTTTTTTTACTCTGTATTTGAAAGTAATAAATTCACTTTGTAACTTAAATTTTAATCTAGTACTTCATTCCCAGTTATCTGGTTTTGAATCTCTTAGTTTTTCTTTATTCCTCACTTTATCTATTTATGCACGTACCTAAGCCAAGAAGGGAAAAAACTCACTTTGCCAGAATAAGTCTATATTTTAACATAATTTAGTGGCTATTGCCGATGAAATGTAATGAAAAATATAAAACTCTATTTATCATTATAGTAGACAGGAAGCAAATGCATGTAACTGAAATACAGTCAGTAGTGTAGTTTTACATACTTTCTCTGAACCCTTACATCCTTTTAAATATGTATTAAAATTGTGAAATGGCCTAGAACTGAGATTTGAGGAATGCTAGTTAAAATTAACAGGTCAGTTTGGAGAGAGCTCTACCCAGTAATGTGGGGTTTGAAAAACAGAATAGAAAGTAACCTGTTTATATGCTGCTTTTAAAACAAGTGATAATGGTTGTTAGTGTATCACACTGTTTTCTGTCTCTTCCAGAAGATACAGAAGACAGATGAAAAATCACCCTGTCTTGAGAGTGAGGCCAATATTTGCATAGTTCTGGCTTAATTTTGGAATTTGCCATCCAAGGTATGGTTTTGAGGGGGGCTGATGTTTATTTTGGTTTCATAATTTTAAAAGTGAATATGGTCATGCAGGCAAAAGTAAGTCACTGAGGGGTAAAAATTTGGAATATATTCCCTTGATAGGCATTCCTTCTGTTTTTTCTTTAATCTCTCTCACTGCTTATTACTTATACATTGTACAAGTAGGTCACTGAGGAGCAAGTATTTCAGTAATTATGTCACTCTGTTTTGTTTGTTGAGCTGTTTTTTCCCCATTCTGAGGAGGTGCTATGAAGTCATGGAATCTCTGCTGCTCTGGTAAGATAGAAAACAGATGGATTCCTCAGTGGTCAGCAGTGTTTCTAACTACATTTGGCTTTTTTGGCCTCTCTGTTTCTGTCAGTCTGCATGATTTTCCCTTTGTAAATTCATGGTGATTCCTCCCAGTCGCCTTCTTGTCCTTCATGTGTTTGAAAGTAGTTTCCAGGATTGTTTCCTTCACCTTCCCAGGGAGCAGGGTGAGGCTAGTAGGCAGGCCTGTGGTTGCCTGACTCCTCTTTCTTGTCCTTGAAAACAGGGTTTTCATTGACACTTGTTTTCTTAAGTCCTCTGGAATGTCACCTATCAGCATAAAACTTCCAAAGTAGTGAGAATGACTTTACAATGACAAGACCAGTTCTCTCAGCACTCAGGTTGGCACCTCAGCAGGTCACATGGAAGTGTTAGGTCCAGTTCACTTAAAAATTTGTTAATCTGATCCTCCCTCTCTCAGAGTAAGTCTTTTGTCCTCTACACATTCCCACAGGTCTCAGGGACCTGGGATTCTAGAAGGTAGTCTTACCCACAAAAGAAAAAAGCTGAAAATTTCCAGAAGGAAAAAGGTGCTTTGACATTTTTGTATAATTTTGATACTTTTGGCAGCAGGCTGAAATTTCCTCTAGTCTTTATTATGCTGCTCATTTACCCATACAAATCTTTCTCGTGGAATTTCATATCCTTCACCAGATTCAACTCTAGAAGGACCTTGGTTTTCCAAACCCTATCCTAGTGAACCTAAGTGGTCTTCCTGTGTCAGGACATACACTTGGTGTAGCCCCACTTCACCTTAGTTTGGCTGATTTCAAGATTTCTGTTTTTCACATCATCCTGCTTTCTTTGGTTGCAAACCGTGACCACCACATCCTTGCTCATTCAGAGGTCACCATCTTCCTCTACCATCATTCCTTGTTTAAGCATTCCCCAAGCCAATTGACCAGCCTCTTGGCAAAGATGCTTTTACCCCATGTAATTTCAAGTGGATCTTGTTCCCCTTCACTCTCAGTTCTTGAGCCTCCTGGAAGGTTCTGTGGATGTAAATGCTGCACATCCACTTGCTCATTTGCAGGATCTGTCCGCCTGTCTCCTTCTCCTCAAGTTCTCCCTGTTCACCAAGCGCATGAATGGAACACCACTTGGCTACCAGACTTGGCTACAGGCCAACACCCTGTGAACTGCATAGTCATGCTTGGTACACTTCTGGTCTCCCCTGGCTGTGTCCACGGTGCCTGAACAGAAGAGCAGCTGAGGGTAATAGTGTAAGGGCCAGACTGCTACCAGTCTCAGTAATATTCTGTCCATGGTATCCAGGATGCAGACCCCTGGCAAGCAGCATACTTTGCCAGGTGACAGGTTGAGCCAGCAGAGGTGTCTTTGTCCCAGAAGCAGGGAATCACCACTCCTCCTTACCCCATGCTTCCTATACCACAGAACTCAGGCACGGATGGGTCAGAGGCTTTCTTGGACAGAGCTTCCTGTCCATGTGTGCTGCTAGGGCTCAGTACCTGCTCTGCAGGTCAGAGCTGCAGGTGGAACAGGAACTCTCTGTGGGAAGTGGAAAAATAGAATCTTCCGTGGATTCTGAAGGGTTCAATCTGCAGCCTTAGAAAGAACTTGAGTTAATGTAATGATAAAGGTACACAAACATTAAGTAGAAAAATTATAACTTATGTTCCCATATTGTAAGTAAGAATATGCCTTGAGTAAGTAAGAAATTATATTAGGTAAAATAGTGAGAAGTTTAAGCTGTAATAATGTGACTTATAGGGTAGGCTATGAATATAGAAGCTGTAATAGAGGTGTGTGTAGCTACACGACCTATCAGTTTATTGGCTGAAAGACAGACGCAGAGTGGCAAAATTAAGCAAAGGTGATAGGTTATTAATTAGAAACAAGTTTTGTGTTAACTGCCTATTGGACCAAAATGTTATATATTGCCGTGTGAAGAAGAAACCCATGACTACCCTGAGCTACGGCTGACTTGTTACTCCTCTCCAAATCTCACACCTTTGAGTCTGATATCTTATCTGGCTTTCTTGAGCAGTAAATCATCTTAGATAGCATGGTGGTCCCATCCCTTGTTTTTCATCTCAACATCTCCTTTTGGTGGTGGAGCTCAGAGGCTCCCAGACTTTGCTGTGCTCAGCATCTCCATATCTGGCTTGACAAGCTCTGCTTCTCCTCATGCAGAGAGGCTTTCTGTAGATGCATGAACTTGGTGGGGATCTGGTCTGTCTCTTTTTCAGCACTTAAATGTACAGTTTGCTCACCTTCTTCCTCAGCTTCTCTGCTTGATGAGATGGGTCCTTCATCAGTGCATGCTTAGAAGTATATAAAATGTTTTCGTTTTTTTTTGTTCTAAACCTGCTGGTTGCCACAGTGTGATGGATTGGCATTTAGAAAAAAAGTAAGGAACACCCATGTAAATAAGGGCTCTGAGAGAGGCTGCTGGGAGTTTCTTCTCTGCCTGAGACCTGGCCAATAGCTGGCCAGTTCTGAGAATTGACAGTATTTTTGACCACTGAAAAGCGAAATGACCCTTGTGAATACCACCTTTTAAACCTAAGCCTGGGAGCTTCTGGCTCTCTTTGTTTCTGGCCTCGAAAGGTCCCAGAGCTCTGGTGCAGCTGCCCCCCACCCATGGCCTGTCTGGCCTGGGGGAAGGGGCTGAGCCGGACTCCCGGGCAGGGGATGGAGGCTGCAGGACATCGGCCCCAGGCCAGGCTGTGCTGTGGCTCTGGCTTCTCCCGGGAAGCCTCCGAGTCCTGTACCAGCAGGGTGGCCAAAGCCCTTCCCAGGGGACCCCTGGGCAGCTGTTGACCCTCGCAGACACCCCCCCATGGGCCACACAGCCAGCTCCAGGCCAAGAACTGTCTGCTCCTTCCCTGTGGCTGCTGGGCTGAGAGAGGGACACCTGAACTCTGACACCGTGAATATCTGCTGCTGTTTGGGCCAGATTTTAACCCTGTCACTACCCAGATGAGACCTGCAGATTTAATCCCTTTCCAGAGAGAGGAAAGTGAGTGATCAACATGTAAAGAGACAACATAAACCATCAAAGTCAGTAAAAGAAGGAGTTGAGCCTCAGATGGAAGGAGAATGAGGAGATGCTAAATAAGCTGAAATATTCTTTGGGTAAGGCCATGGAGATGAACAATAATGTTCTGAAAAACTCCTTTTATTCCTAAAAGAGTATTTGGGGGGAATGAAGTATTTCAAAGTGTAGATCTGAGCAAAGGTATCCATTGATGAAGCTGAGCAAATGGTGAAGTACTTGTGATCCCATGAGATGCTGGAACAGAGAAAGAGAAGTGAGAGTTGATGAAGACCCTTGGCCCCCAAGGCAAAAAAGAGAAAACCTCTGTTCCCAGAGATGATCACAGAGACAGATGAAGAGAACCTTTGCCTTTGAAAAACTCTTCCTTAAAGTAATACCCCTTGAGTCTGTGGCCCGTGAACACACCTCTGAGTGGTGTGAAAATGGGAGGAGGGCATGATAGCAGAGTTTTTCTCCCAGGCAGCTGCCATCATGGGAATGAAAACCCATGAGAAAACTGTTTTGAGAACTCTCCATGGAATGACAAGAGAGAACTCCTCTCTCTACAAAGACTGATGAAAAGACTATTGTATAGTTGGTACTGTTTTAACCACCAGGTTTTGTCTCTTGTCAGTTGGACAAGGGAAAGGTTGAGTGGTGGGGAAGAAGAGTTCCTGGAGGTTTTATTCTGGTTTCTTATTCTTGTAGTTCTGTTAATAAACTTTCTTTATCCCTTTTAAGTTTTAAGCCTAGTTTTTCCCTTCTCCTAATCCATATCTCAAAGAAAAAAATCAATAAGTATTCTGGTAATTTTTAGCTAGTGCTAAAACCACGACACACAGCTAGCTTACCACAGAGACACATTAAGAACTAGCAGACTCAGTAGTATAATAACCTCATTTTATATCTTTATAGATACTTTATATTTATTGTATTATTAATATATATTATTATATTATTATTTATTACATTATATTATGTCTAGAGTCTGTACATAAGTGTGTAATATGTTGATATAATGCATGTAACAGCCAGTAGTGCATGTGTGCTAGATATTAAAAGAGATTATAGGGATTATAGGTTTTATAATTATCATTATATATTTATATTTATCAAAACCAAGTTTTAACAGCACAGCAGCTTTATTCAATATACAATATGGTTCTAAAAGCAAATGTTAGGTAATTCGGTATTATTAGAATAAAAATAAACTTTTAGTACACTGCTACTTGAATGAGAGCACTGTTACATTAGAAGTTAGCAAACAAAGGGTTATGATAAATAATGCAAAGGAGAAGTATGGAAAAATGACAGCTTGCTTGGGTTTGATTTTGATTAGACTTGTAAAAAAAGAAGAACAGAAATTAATTAAATTTGTGAATAGTATTAAGTACAGAAATTTTGAATGCAATTGAGGACAGTGAAACATGAAAAAAGTAAGCCAAACCCCTGGAAACAGAGATGTTTGATAAACAAAATTTCAATGCAGCAAGTAGAAACTGAAATCATAAAAAGAAATCCATCAAGAAATGGACAAGGTTCCTGAAACCCACAAACTGGGGGAGCTAATGGGTAAGATTGGGATTTATATGAGCACTGTAATAATAAAATATGTGTATGAAGGTAGTCTGACAAAAAAAAATAGCAGTTGTGATAGTTGTGAGTAGTGATTAGGACTTAGTGCTGTGTTGTTGTGGAGGTCAGTTTATGAAACTCAGAAGTTTACATTATAGGACTCGGTGAGGTTTCTTCAGTCTAAAACCAAAAGGAACCCAGTCCACTAAAATGTATGTGATTAATCGAAAATGTTTTATTTTGTGATATTTTTATGATCTATGTGAAAGAGTTCAGGGTAATGACACCTTTCTCCCTTGGTTTGCTATTAATGTCATGAAGGAGGTTTTTTTTAAGCAAGGAAACTCTGAATTCTTAGTGAAGATTTTGACTATTTAAGCTTTAAGAAAACGACCATGAAGTGTAGGGGGGAGACTATAATAGTTTTCTCCAATAATGTTTTTACTTGCATCTTGGTGATAAATGTTGCTTTTTAGCCAGATATAAATAATTAATGAAATGATATAATATTTTGCTACCTGGTGCTCAAAAAAATGTATGTGAAATGTTTGTGTGATTTTATGTAATTCCTTAAATCAACAGCTGACAGGTTTTTTTTCTTTCTTACTTGAATGTATGGATTTGAATGTATGAACCCTATAGGTTGCACTATACTAGTTAATTTACCCTTTTTTTTAATATATTTTTATTTATCTCTTTAGGATTATCTTCCCAGGGTGTGACGATATTTATTACCTGTTTGCATTCAATGGGGCAACGAATTCACTTTGTGGTTGACCCTCAGGGTTGGTGCTGCATGAGCCTAATTATCTTCGTGTGGCTGTACAATACAATCTTCATTCCAAAGGTCATCCTTTTTCCTCATTATGAAGAGGGAAATATTTCAGTTGTGGCAGTTTTGTGTAAGTCATTCTAACCTTTTTCTACTAATAAAATAGTGTCTCTACTTAACATACATTAAAAAAAAAAATCCCGTCAGAAAATAAAAACTAAGGTGAAGGTAAAGACTTAAGGATAAGATAAAGGGTAAGAGTAGTGGATGTGTCCTACATTTGTATGTTCTGAGAAGTCTATACATTTCATTTCACAGGTGTTATTGCAGAACTTGTTTTTGTGGAAACCGGTGAAAAGCCTGAATGTGGCTTTCAGGTCCTGAACTTGGAACTTTTTGACAGGATTTTGGGTTCACATCCCTAAGTGCCTGTCATAATTTAGTGTGATAGTACTGGTGACTGGCAACAAACTGAATTTTGTTAGTTTTGTCATACATCCCTGCATATTTTGCTGATAGGTTTGCTGGGGAAAAGGCTTGAATTACAGCTGGAGCAAATTTGAGGTGAAGATGCACTATTGGGAATATCTTCCATATGGAGGCTTTGAAGTGTGGTACAATTGGTGCTTGTGTGGTAAGACTGTGGCAGACCTTCTTAAAAACCGTAGTATGGTCATAGTAGCACGTGCTATCAGAACTGTTTACTATGTTTTTCACTCTATTTATTGGGGAGTATTTAATGTTGTATACTTAATATCAAAAATATATCTGGAATTGAATGAGAAGGCTGAATATTTTCCAACTCAGTTCTGAAGCATCTGTATTTTTGATGTAGTGTACTTGGTACATATGAAAATGACTAACAAATGCTTATTTATTTTTTTTAGGTTATTACTTCTGCTCATTGTTTTGTATAGCTTCATTATTTAGAGCCTCAGTCGCAGATCCAGGAAAACTACCTGAAAATCCAAAGATACCAATTACAGGTATGTTAAATTGTTTCTATATAATTCAATGAAAGTCATTTTAATATCCTTAAACTAATTAGGAATAAATTTGACTGGGTGAGATTTAATGGAAAGCATGAGCTGTACCCGCTAAATAAGGTTAGTATGTTGCTGTTTTTAAGGTGTAAATTTCTAGCACTTCTCTTTGTGTAGTCTCAAAACTTATTTTTCTAAAACTTGTCTTCTACCTGAAAGTTCAGTTATGTAGGACTTTCTGCTAGGAAATTTTTATATGGAAGGATTTTTTTTGCATTCTAGACTTTCAAACATATTGCATATGCTACTAACTTGATAATACTTAATGAAAAATGTTTAGAGGTGGCTAGTTACTTTAATTCTGTAGCTTCTGTCTAAGAAAATTTATATGATTTTGAAAATGGTGGTGAAAGGTAGTCCTGTGCTGTTTTCTACCTGTGTGGGTTTTTTTAGTCTTATGATTGTATGGGCTGTTAACAAAAAACCCCAAACCATGGTGTTAATTACGTTGCATTTCTGTAAACTTGCAACTTAATGGAGCAAGTCCTTTCTGTCCTTGTAAATTTATCCCACAATTCCTGTATGGTATCCAGTGCTCCAGAGGTCAGAGGAAATTTAAAACCTTAATGATTCTCCACAGAGAAAGATGGTGTTTTTATGAACTGTTGGGTGCTATTATCTAATGCACAGAGCTTTTACTTAGGAGTTTAGAATGGAGTAGGGCTGTTAAACAGCATGAGCTTTGTCAAATTAACAGATAACACTTCTTGAGTGAAGAAAATGTACCCCATACAGAGGATGAATACTTTAGTCTTGTCTTGAGATGTTGTGAATGCCCAGAATAAAATTTTGCTCTCTCTTCCTTATGTTACTCAAAATCTAGGATAATGTATTTGGAAACATGATCTTTTTAGCCTTAGCGCTGGTAAATGTCCCTGAAGTAGGCAGCTGATCATGGAAAGGGGTGTATCTGACTGCGATTCAGCTGTGTCACCTCTAATTGCAGAAAACCTCATGCCAGTGTTCTTTCTGCTCCTGGAAACAGATCCTTTGACCCAGCAAAACATCGTGTTTCAGACTTAGGTACTGGAGTCAAGAGTTGTAGTTGCAGGAAGAGCAACATGGATTTTGCAACCTGAGCTGGATAATGGAGACACTCCCTAGTTACATTTATATTGGAGTTTTCATTTACCTTCAAAATACCAGGAGCAGTGCAAATTCCCTTTGTACACAAATGTTTTTTCCTAATTTAAAGTATCTCTTTGCATAGCTCTCCAACCTTTGCATGCTCCATTCAGTCCATACGGCAGTCATACTTAATAAGTACTTCTGAAGGTGAAACATTTAGGCTATGTCATGACTTCAACATTTTGATTCCATGTGTGACAGATCAGGGGGTTTGTACTTTTGGAGGTAGCACTTAAATTCTCTGGTATTCTGTAGGCTGACAGGAGGATACGTTTTTGCATAGTATAAATTGTGTTGAAAAATGAGTTGGGGTGTGTCTCAACTCTGCTGGTAGCTGCCCTATTAGTGAGTGACACCTTTGTGACACTGGATTTATGGGAACAGATTGTAAATCAGTTTCCATCTGTCCTTATTACTAGTTTAATGATCTCAGATACTGGGTTTCTTTACTTCTAGTGTCCAAATGTTATTTTGCAGCAAGAAAGACCAGATTAGAGCTTCCCTGCAGGTGGCTCAGAAGTGCTAAATATAACTTTATTTTGTTTACATAGGGACAGTGTTTTACAGTATAAAATTTCAGAATGTTTCTACTGTAAATATTAAGCTTTTTTTCCTTTTTTTTCCCCTATATCCCTGAGATTTGAGAAATTTTTTGTGCCTCAAAAATGTTTATTTATGTAGAAACAAAGTTGAACAGTCAAAATATTTAAGTTTCTCAGTTGTCCATCTCTTTTCCCTAAAGACAGAAATCATATGCTTTTTGTGACTGGAATTATTTGTTTCCCATGTGAAGATAAATTTTTTGAACATATAATTTGAATTTTCATTTTCAAAGAATTCCTCTAGTTTGGGTTGTGCAATTTGAGATAGCAACTTGAATAGCCAAGCTGGGAACAGTACTCCTGGTACCTTCAGCTTCTCAGTATCTCTGAAGATTAGCTTTTAAAGAATGTCACATTAATAATTTAAATATAGTATATATTTGTAAATACAAGCCTATCTCTTCTTTCTTTCTAATCTTTGACTTTCTTTGATTGTGTTATGTGTAAAGTTGCTTATGGTGATACGCATGTCTTTAAAATGCTTTGAGGTGGAAGATGCTCCTGAAGCATTGTGTGTCATATTTTAGTTAGCTAGCAGTAGCAGTATTTCTTAGGAGGTTCTGGAATAGCAGTGAGATTGCATCCTGATTCTGTCTAGCAGATAATTTTTTTTCACAGTGGAAATGTAATGAAATAACTGACTTACAATCTTCCTTGTCTGAGTCACAGCTTCTGTACTGTAATAACTACTTTGTAGAAATTTATAGGAAGAGAGAACATTTTGAAGAGGGAAACTGGCACAGTAGCAGTAATATCTTCCAGTTTAATTAATGTCACAGTGGGAAAAAGCTTTTTATGTGGTGCTTATCCTTCTCAGATCATAGTAAGATTTTTTTTTCAATTAGAATTACAAGCATACAGATTTATTGTAAGCACACATTACTGAGTTTAAATCTCTCTAATGTGTCTTTACCTTTTCACCTAGAACGAGAACATTGGGAGTTATGTAACAAATGCAATATGATGAGACCAAAGCGTTCACACCATTGCAGTCGCTGTGGACATTGTGTGAGGAGGATGGATCACCACTGTCCATGGTAAAACCAGGACATTTCTTCTAATAATCTACTGTTGTTTTAGTGAATCATTTTGAATTTTGTGATCTTGACTGCTGCTCATTTTTCCTCTTTCTTTCCCAGTGGTGCTTAATCATTTAGGCATTTAAAGCAGAGAAGTAATAAATTTGAGCTTTCATATATCTACCAGTAAAACTCAGAGTAAGTGAAAATAAACATTTCTGCAAATAGTTCTGAAGTATCCTGTTTAGCAAGACAAACTGCAGAGGTCAGAACTGACATCAGGATCCCCTTATGTTGATTTAGGCATTTTTCAAACTACCTTTTTTGTCATGTTTTTGCTACTTCAGAGGATAGTACCAGTATAGTGTCATGCTGGCTTAGATTGGTACTGATGTCTGTGCCAATGCTTGCATGAAATTGCATCCTTGTAACTTCTGTGAAGCAGACTATCTCCCAGTTTTGAAGGTTTCTGATCTTGTACTTAATATAGATAAAATCCCGTGTTTCTTTTACTCTTCTTATGTTGGAGTATGCGGGACTTTCTGAATAGGGATGCCTGTATTGTATTCTGTGCCTTTGGCTCATTTCTAAATCATATTTCTTTGTTGTTGGGGTAGCCTGTGTTCACATTTATTTTAAAGCATTTGCATTTCCAGTTTTTGGACTCTCTGTAGTTCACAACCTGAGAAATGTGTTGAGTAGCAGAAGATAAGGCATATAACTGTGAAATTTTGCAGACTCTAAAAAACCAGTTTTATTACTAAAGTTTTACTTAAAATTGCAGCAGAATCTTTGCTATGTGAAAGTACAGACAAGTGTGTCTCCTGTTCTAAGCAATCATCTCAGTAGTGCAACCTACACTTTAAGTTGTGGTGCAAGGGATCCAGTAGTTTGCTCCATAAACAATCATAAAGTCTATTCACAGTATCATAACTTTAGTGTTAAAGTATTTGTCTTTCTCTTTTTATATATACACACTTTGTTTCTCTGCAGGATTAATAATTGTGTTGGTGAAGACAATCACTGGCTGTTTTTACAGCTGTGTTTCTACACCCAGATCCTTAGTTCCTATACGCTGATACTTGACTTCTGCCATTACTACTACTTTTTGCCTCTGAAAAAAGAAAACTGGGTAAGAGCCTGTTTTCTCTGTGAAGCTAACAAATAGTATTGCAACGTAGTTTGTTTTGGTGTCTAGTTACTACACATTTTTGGTGGCTCAGCTTCACTCTCAGTGAAGAGAGTTCAACTAGCTGTATGATATTATGTACAGCTATAAAGCAGAATTATTTACATAAAGCAAACTGATATATGATATTGCTACATAAAGTGAACTGATTTATGCTAAGTAACAAAACATTTTTATGAAAGGGTGTATGATTTCTGTGTGTTAAAAACATAACACTGATTTTCTTGGAAATCTAGGAAAGGAGGGAAGAACCAGTTAGCTTTCTTTAGAAATGATTATGAGTACTGGAAAGAATTAAGGTAATTATTTTAGATGTATTCAAATTTCCTTTTACTTTCTCCAAAGTAGATTTATGCAGAATATAAAGCTATCCTAACATCATGCTTTAAAAAGCTGAACTTGCTTTTTTAAGAAAGGAGAAAAACACATGATCATTCTGCAAGGGGAAAAATATACACTGGTTTTGTAGCAGTATTTTCTATTTCTTTGAAAAGGTTATATGGTTAAGGGAGAATTAAGTTTGGTTTGCTTTATGTGGACAATATATAAATAGTTATGGTATTTCCATGTCTCGTCATCGGTAAAAGGGAGTTGCATACAGAGAGAAAATGAACTTACTGGCTGGAGTAGAGTAGAAAATTAAGGAATTTCTTCCACTATGAAACTTATATTGTAAAGTCACTATCTGGTGCTCATTTATGCCTATTATCTGTAGTATTCAGAATGTTGAAGAAGGTTGCATGAAAGTTTCTCAGTGCTTGAAAGTGCCAGAATAGCAAAGTTAGAACCTTTTTCTTTATATCTGTGTTATGCCATCTTGCTTATGAAGAAGCATAAAAACTTCTAACCTAAATCTGAAACGAACTTTGTATTTGTACTGGACTACAACAAATACAGGTACGCCAAAGAGAAAAACCTAGAAAACTAGTTTAAATAATTTGCAAAATTGGGTAACATTCCAAATGTCACAAATGAAAAGAATAAGACCATCTCAGATATCGCAGTCTGAATTTTGTTGAGATGTTTTTCCAAATACTGAGGTGCAGAAGATTTTTTAATTCTGTGTTGATGTGATACCCCAGCATACTCTCTGCTGGTGATGTCATACTCATCTTTCCAGGCTACTGGAACCTGACTCTTCACTGTGGGTAAGGCAAGTCCCATTTTCCATTTTTTTGAACGACTAAAATTCGTCATATGATTTTGTATCTTACATTATATAAGATTTCCACTCTGTGAAAAATTCTACTTCTGAAAAAGGATTTGGCATAGTCTTCTGATCTACTTTTTTGTTCCTGTACCAGTCTGAAGTGGATGCGATGTTCCCATAAAAGTGAATGTGAAGATGGTATGGCAAAGGAGAGCTGAAATTGTACGAGGACTGTATTCCTTGGATAATCCAAAACTGATAAATGTGCTATATTAAAATTCATAGATAACAAGTTTTTATTATGTAGAACATTCTGAAGTTGAGGAGTTTTGTAAATCTTTCTTTAAAAAATATGTATTCTAAAGGAATTTAATTATTTTTTCCATCTACATCAATACTTCCATTTTAATCATTAAAGGGACACTAGAAATATGGAACAGAAAATAATCTGCTGTCTTCTTGGAGCATGTTTCCATAGGCACTGAAACAGACTTGTTAGCTTCTAATAGTATAATATCATGGTAGGTATTTCCTTTTTATTGTGAATGTTGCCTGAATGTATCACTTTGTGTAATTACACTGTGTTAGGTAACAAGACAAAGTTCTGTCTGTTAGCCTTGCTTTTTAAAAGTATTATGAAAAGTAACCAAATTATTTGCTTGGAGGTGGTCTGTGCAAGAGAAGGAAAGGGAAATCATGTTGTAATCATGTAAGATGTTTTACAATACCTAAAGAGGTGATAAAAAGTAATCATTAATGATGACAGTTCAAAAAACTAGTATGAATCTGTATAAAACTTGTTCTCACCAGTATAACTGGATTCATTTGATGTCTTTTGGAGAGAGGCCTAATTTTAATATCTAGCCCTTTGACAGTTGGCAGGTTGGGAGGCAGAACATATGTGCAACAATTATTTTAACCTGTTTTAATGTGTTTGCCTGAAGAGTGGATCAAGTTCCTGTATTTGACTGCCTAAGTTTATAGAGAGCTGTGGAAGAAATTGAGTACTTTGCTCTGCTTAGTTTTGTTTAGTTTTCCCTGTGGTTTTTTATGGCTTTATCAATTTCCGTATGTGAACACTTCAAATTACACACTTCCTTTTAAAAAAGTGAATCTGTGCTATAGAGTATTATAATATTACTCTAGTATTTTATATATATATATATATATATCTCATAGTATTCTAGTATTTTATATATATATATATATATATATATATATATATGTAAAATAGTATTCTGTGCCCCAGAGAGAAAAATATGTTTGTAATGGTATAAAAACCCAGAGAGCACAGCAGGTCAGCAGGTCTGGGCAGTTCTGACCTTCGTTAAGTATAGTGTAAGACTGAATAGTATTTAGCTTTCTCAGTTTTTCAGCTGCAGAATGGGAGAGCACACAGTGAAGTAGAGAAAACTAAAATAGTTTGTTGGTATGCCTAGTCAATATATCTGCCTGGAAGATGACACCAGAGTTCCATGAAGCTGATTTTCTAAAGAGTTGCTAAGGATGTGATGCTGTATAGGTATGTGCCATAGAATAATTTGTCAGAGCTATGTCTTTTTGACACCAGTGAGAGGTGAGGACCAGTGAGAAGATTGGCTTAGTAGTAGTTAGGGTTTTAGGCAAGCATTCTGCAAGATTCCTTTTATCTTCATATATCAATTAAAGCTGAAGTACTACAGCATTCCAGAGTGCAGTACCTTCAGTCTTTCACAAAAACACTGTTCTTTGTTGAAATTTTGGCTGTAACTGAGAGCTTATATTTTCTGAATTGACAGGGGCTAGTATATAGCACTAGCACTTTAGATTCGAAGAACTGGTTAATTTTTTTTCTAAGCAGCCATCTGGAATGAGCTTATTTTTGCTTATTAAAAATACTTGTGAATTTTTTGGCAGTGTGCCTTCATCTAAATTTTTATTATTCAGATATAAAGTAGTGCATAACATAGAAGCTGCAGAATTAAAATTGTTTTTAGTGCTATTGTGAAATAATAATTCTATTACAGTACTAATTAATGTGTTACGAAAATTTGATCAGCATGTTAGTATCTCCTTCCAAATTAAAACTTGTGTTTTTATTTTTAAAGAGTCAAGAAAGAAAACTCCCAAAATTTTTAATTAACTATTCTGAGTTAAGGGTGACAGCTCTAGAGGTACTGGAGGAAGCCGCTTCTATAGAGAGGCAATCTTTCAGCTTTACCTTTTACTGCGGAAAATTGCTTCATTGCTTGGTTCTTGTAACTGATACACTGCCAGGAAGTTAGGTTGTGGTTGTTGCCTCTGTTTGTCCAGCAGGAGGAGTGCAATTACTGCTAGAAATAAAGGAGATGGTAATTAAATTGATTATGTTGGATGATAGCACAAGAAAAATGTATTGTTCAAATAAAATCAGCATATTAGTTCTTCTGCTAGCTTCAGTGATTTTCAGAGGTTAACTCAGGAATATTTTTAATTTTACATCTTCATGGAAAAAAAAAAGTCAGGAAGCCTGTATCTTTTAGGAAGTAGTCAATCTTGTGAATAGTGAGATGAGAAGAATAAATACCAGACTTCTCATCACTACATAGTTGCTCTCTCCATGGCTGTGCTGGCACAGATTCTAGATACAGCTGGTGAAATTGCAAAAGTAAATGCTTTGGCAGTGTATTTTACCTTATTTATAGAAGGCTTTTAATCTTTTAAGCAAAAGAAATTCTGCTGATACATTCTGTTTGCTAGAAATATTGCTACAATAATTGTCATAGCCAAACGTCCTGACATACAAAAACCTACGCTCCTTTGCTTTGGCTTAGTTTTATTTTGTTCCTGTTTCTGCAATTAAAATTCATTGTCTTTGACTTCAGAAAAGGATTTTTTTGCAGTACTGTTAATATTATGCATTGGCTAATATTAATTAAAATATGGAAATATGTATCATCCAAAGTCCATTTACACTGCAAAGAGAGACTAAAGGAAACTTTTTCTCTTAGGATCACAAAATTATCTACAGGATGGCAGAGTTTTTTAAAAAATGAAAGCATCAAAATTTTTCTTCTCATCATTCTGCAAAGCCCAGAGCCCAGCCCTGCTCTCCTACAGTGTAGTTGTAAGGACAGTACATGAACACTGAATTAAGTACTTACACTTTCTTCCTATAAAACCTTCAGTCTGTATTTTTCAGTTTTCTTTCTGGAATGCCTGGCTTTCTTTTGTATTATGCACTGTTTTTGTGTTAACCAAGTTGATAGACTGGCTTCATCAGCAGGCTGGGGCAGACATCCCAGACATCCCAGGCATGTACAACTGAGCACAGAGAAGCAGGCTATCATGTGTTACACAAAATATTGTTCCCCAGGAAAAAGGGGACCTCTTAATATATTTTCTTGTATATAAATTTCTCTGTGTGTCGTATTTCAGTAGAGGATAAAGATAAATTTTTTCAATCTTCCTTTGTAAATGAAAAATTATGAAGATAGTCTGTTCTGGAACAGATGCAATAGTCCTGTGTTTTCTGCAGAAAGCTCTGTCCTCAGTACAGTGTACTGCTTTAAAGGAATACTGGAAATCCTTGAAAACAACACAGTGATGCACAGGGCAGGGGCTTGCTATATGTTTCTGAGGGTTTTTTGGGTTTTTTTTTATTGTTGTTAGGGTGCAAAGAGAGTTGAATTTGGAAACAGTGATCTTATAATGGACTACGATCTAGAGCTGGACCCATTGTTGTTTTTGACTTCTCTCGTGTACGATAGCGTAAAGGTGTGGTAGCTGTTGGCCTAGTAAGTGGTAGCATTCATTGTAGGGGTCATCAATAGTG